AATACAAACCGTGAGCTCCTTTAGCATAAGAAGCTAAGGAGCTACGAGATCTCCCACAATCCACTGCACACATCAAACCAACAGATTCTTCATTAAAATCTTCTGCATAAATAAACTCAACTTTACAACATATAAACCAGAACCACTGTAGATCCACATCAGCCCGTTTGATCAGATCATTCAGCTCTGATCACATTTGTTTATGTTTTACAGAAACAAAACTTAAGACCACATTGGCTAATTAGCATAAACTGTTAGCGGTGATAAAAACAGCTGCTCCTTGTGTCGCTGATGAGGTTCAGCTTCTTTTGGACTAAAAGACACGACTCTGTGGATTATGTGAGTTATTTCTGTGACAGAAGAGGTGCTGATGATGGTGAGTCTGTTCTGTGTGTGTGTTGTACAGGAGATAGTTCATGTTTTAGTTTTTCATCGATCACACGAGTGCAGATTGTACGTGTGCAGGTTTAGCGCAGCTCTTAATTTTACAGTCATTTCACTCGTTTGGTCACTTTATTTATGTTGGTCAATTTATTTATGTCTCTACTGTTGTGGTGAAAGGCTGGAAAGTGTCTTTTGGACACATGTGACTCAACTTTATGTTACTGAAACCGGGTACTGCGTTTACATGCACCATGAAGAAACCATAACCGTGTCATTGATGTACATGTAAACACACTCACTGACAGCACCAGAGGATCATGGTCTATGTAGTTCCTTTTGTTTTTTTACTGTTGCTGCACCGTAACAGTGAATTTAATCTAATTCACTCCCATAACTGCAGTCCTCGATGAGCTTCATTTGACTGGAGCTGAATTCTGTGGGCAGTGTTGGGAAGTTTACTTTTAAAATGTAATCCCCTACAGATTACAGATTACACACACCAAAATGTAGTTTGTAACAGAATCCATTTTACTATCAGATTTTACTGAACCAAATTAAAAATATATTATTGATAAAAGAAGAAGAAGAAACACGTCCACACAGCAGGATTTAGTCCTGTTAAATCCTGTTTGAGACATAGTTTAGTCCTGGTTTAGTCCTGGTTTAGTCCTGGTTTAGTCTTGGTTTAGACCTGGTTTAGACCTAGTTTAGACCTGGTTTAGTCCTGGTTTAGACCTGGTTTTAGACCTGGTTTAGACCTGGTTTAGTCCTGGTTTAGACCTGGTTTAGACCTAGTTTAGACCTGGTTTAGTCTTGGTTTAGACCTAGTTTAGACCTGGTTTAGTCCTGGTTTAGTCTTGGTTTAGACCTGGTTTAGACCTGGTTTAGTCCTGGTTTAGACCTGGTTTAGACCTGGTTTAGTCTTGGTTTAGTCCTGGTTTAGACCTGGTTTAGAACTAGTTTAGACCTAGTTTAGACCTGGTTTTAGACTTGGTTTAGTCCTGGTTTAGTCCTGGTTTTAGACCTGGTTTAGTCCTGGTTTTAGACCTGGTTTAGTCCTGGTTTAGTCCTGGTTTTAGACCTGGTTTAGTCCTGGTTTTAGACTTGGTTTTAGACCTGGTTTAGTCCTGGTTTTAGACCTGGTTTAGTCCTGGTTTAGACCTGGTTTAGACCTGGTTTAAACCTAGTTTACACCTGGTTTTAGTCCTGGTTTAGACCTGGTTTAGTCCTGGTTTTAGACCTGGTTTAGACCTGGTTTAAACCTAGTTTACACCTGGTTTTAGACCTGGTTTAGACCTGGTTTAGTCCTGGTTTTAGACCTGGTTTAGTGTCCGGCAATGAGAGGAATTACTGAGGAAAAAAAAAAAAATGAAAACAGGAAAATCCCTCTGTGTAATCCATTTATTTCAACAAAGTAACTGTAATCCAACTACCACTCACTGAAACAGTAACTGTAACCGAATACAGTTACTCATCATTTGTACTCTGATTACATAACTCTGGTACTTGTAATCTGTTACTCCCGACACTGGCTGTGGGTGACGTGACTCTCCCTCAGTTTACGTCTTTAAACCGTCTGTGGTCCAGACTTTTGTCCGGTCGTGTTCACGGCCACGGAAAAGACCCAAGTGCATCAGGTGTGAAATCATTCAAACCAAACACAAGGAGCCGTCACATTAAACAGAAAATATTGACTCTGCGTGAGCCGTTCCCGTTCCCGTCACCTCACCGTGTTTACAGTAAAGCACAGGCGAGGGAGAGACGCAGAAAAGTGCTTATCGCGGTTTTAGATCTTCAGCCCTTCAGATGTTTTTGTGGAGGTGACTAAAGCTGCTGCTGCGACACTTTCGATGGAGAATTACACAACCACAGTCGTCTTATGTCCCACAGTCAGAGGATCAGATCAAATTTGAGTTTAATTGTTTTATTTCGCAGCTCTGATTTGGTGAAAAGCACGTTGTTTAAAATAAAAATGGCAGAAAAACATTGACTTTAGAGCTTTATAGTCTCATTTGGTTGCCTTTTTGTAACCTATCTTTTATTTTCAAAGGAGCATTTGTAACTTTCTGGTGGAGGGTTCGTCAAATATTTTTCTCAATGAAGATGTTGCTTGAGTTTTCTTCGTCTGGAATGTTTCACAGTAAGAAGTAAGAAAAAAAAAAAAAGTGATTGTATTTCTGTTCAAGGACTTAGTGTGTGGAACAACCGGAGTGATGATTAAAAAAAAAAAAAAGTCGAACACTGTGTTTAAGTCTTTAAAGAAGAGTATAAAGTGTTATGTTTTTGAAAGATATAGAGCTCTGGAATGAATAAGTTATGCATTAAATTTGTTTTAATTTATATTTACAGGAAGTCATAAGTGAAATTTTAAACTCAGACTCTAAAATAGAACTTTCTGCTTATATTTTTTAGCTTTTCTTAAAAAAACTGGGTGTAAAACTATAACTTACATTTACAGCAATTATTATCCCACTAAATTAAATTAAAATTGTAGAATCAGAGAATAAAAACTTGTCATATGCACTTTTAAAAGATGTTTTGTATAACTTTTCTGGTGGAGGGTCCGTATGTTGTTGCTTTGTCTGGAATGTTCCACAGTAAGGTTTTAAACCGTTCTGTCGTCATGGAGACCAAACCAGACCGAGTTAGAGTTCAGATCTGTGGAGAGGCGACGCCGCTCACAGTCAGAATGTTTGTTTTTCGAGGTATTTTTGAGATGTAAAACCACCTGTAATTGAATAAACGTAAACTCGAGCTGTTTAATGTCACATTGTGGAACATTCCAAGCCAGTCTGGCGCCACCTAGTGCCTCCGCTCAATTTCGTTTCTCAACAGAGACTAGTTCAGGAATCAGAATACACTAGACGGTTTGTAAAAAAACTCCGGAAGTGTGATTTCAGGCACCAACCAATCAGAGAAGAGACAGACATTCTGTGTTGTCAACGATTCCTGAGATCGAGGATTTAAAGCCGGAACAAAGAGAATGTTTGGTGAATTTTATCAAGAGTAAAGACGTTATTGTTCTTCTTCCTACAGGATTTGGGAAAAGCTTAATATACCAGTTTTCATACCTGACAGTTTCGACTGCTCCCTTCGCTCTTCCTCAGAGTTGGGGTTGTGCAGTATTACAGTTTCCCGCGGAATCAAAAAGTATCAACAGTATCAGTTTCATCACTGTTTCATAAATGAGCATGAACAAATGTGTGGTTGTATTTTCAGTTTAATTTTAGTTTAACAATTTAAAACTAAAAGTGTCTATAATGTTTCTTTTAACTGTGTGGCGCGATGACGTTCGATTAGTTTGTCACCGTTTGTTATCCGTTGTCACTTGACGCTCATAAGAGAAAAAGACAAGACGACAAGTCCGACCGCAAGCGAGCTGGTCCCCCCCCCCAAAAAAAATACTAGTACTTTTGCAATTTGCCGCATTTTTTTACGTTTTACAGAAATGAAACTTAAATGAAACAGTTTATGCTCATTCGCATAAACTGTAAATCAGTTCTTTCCTTATGTCTGATGTGGTTCAGTTTCTGTCGGACTAAAGGACACGACTCAGTGGAATATGAGTGTTCTCTCTGTGACAGAGGGGTGTTCTGCTGATGGTGAGTCTGTTCTGTGTGTCTGTCGTGTTGGAGGTGGTTCATGTGAAACTTTCCAGAGATTATATGTGTACAGGTCGTACACATAGATCGTATAGCAGTGTGGCTTTGTAGTTTACCAAAGTCGTACTGAAACAATACTGTACACCTCGGTAAATTCCTGAGAAAGTTTAACAAAAAATTTGGATACAGCCCAACCTACTCAGAGTCTCATGATGTGGCTGTGACATGTCGCTCAGTTGATTTAAACAGGTTTTGCAGCTGTCTTCCTCTCGGTTCCTGTGCAGTCCCACTACCTCAGGACAGAATCTCAGGTGTGTGAGAGTAAAACAGCCCCTCGTCCTGGTTTATCGTCCCGTGGGCATGATTCCATATTTCGATTGCCTCTTTAATCCAGCGAGGGCGTTTGTTTGTGATGTTTGCTCCGTTCCAGGGACAATAAAGCGGGATGAGGGGCTTTTTTACTCTCACACACCTGGGATTCTGTCCTGAGGAAGTGTGACTGCAGGTGGCGCTGTCGTCCTGCCTCCACCTGTGGGAGGACAGCGCCAAAACCTGTTTAAATCAACTGAGCAACACGACACAGAAACATCACGAGACTCTGAGGAAGAGGAGCAGGGAGCCGTGGAAACTATGAAAACAAACTCTTGGTCTGAAGAAGAACCTAATAACATGTATATATTTTTATTCTTGGACAGTAGCGCGGCTTTAGAACAGCGTTTTCAGATGGAGAAGTGAAACGGGGTGAATCACCAAAACACTGCCAACCAGCTCATGTAGTGACTCACGTGGCTCTTTCTCACTAATTTACAACTGAAAAAACGGTTCATAATCAGATAGAAAGTGTGTAGAGGTTCAATTGTTTTTGCATAGTTGAGTTGCAGGAGTGTTGTTGGTGATTGGAAGGTGTGTGGTAGGATTGGACAGTGCAGATTGGCAGCCTTGCATTTGTCAGTCTGTCCCAGGGCAGATGTGGCTACAATAGTATTTTACCACCACAAGAATTGCTTAGTCTCCATGTCCAGAGATCCAGTCGTCAAGGTCCCCGCCTTCGACCGCCGGTCAGATCTCCTTGCACCGGCCCCATATGGATCCTCCCACAGGTGGTGGGCCCATCGAAGGGCGGCCCCACGTCACTCCTTCGGGCTGTGCCCTGCTGGGCCCCACAGGAAAAGGCCCGGCCACCAGGCGCTCGCTGTCGAGCACCCACCCCAGGCCTGGCTCCAGGGTGGGGCCCTGGTGACGCCGACCCGGGCGACGTAACTGGCCTCGTTGTTACACTCATTATAAAGGGCTTCCCCGAGGTATTCCGCAGGAAAAAATATAAAAAAAAGGACCAGGACCAGACCAGAACTGAGACCCATTTAGACCTGGTTTAGTCCTGTTTAAATCAAGGAAACGGTCGTTATCCGTTTTTTCGAAAAATCGAATCATCTGTTGTTTTTTTTTTCATTTTGGTTTTGGAGACAAATAATGAAGAAAATAGCAATTTCGTTTTCTTATCTTTGGTTTTATGTTGAAAAACTAATTAACGAACGACATGGATTGTCGAGGTCGAGTTGTTCAGAAGTGACACCGAGGATGAAGAATTGAAGTGATTTAGTGATTTGGAGTGAGACGGAGAGTTTAGTTAAACTTGTTCTGTTCTGTTGTTTATAGTTTATCTGAAGAACTGTGAAATATGTGACAGTGGTGTTAACAGTCTGTTCTTCTCTCTTCTATTGTTTTTACTACAACTTGACTTTACACAGGAAATGTCAGTTCCTGGTTTCTGATTTTATAAAAGAAATTTCCCCCAAAAGTGCGATTTATATGTTTTTTTCCTTCTTCATTACGTATTTTTTGTCTGGTGCACTGATTTCTACAGGACAGCAGAAAGGAGAAGTCAGAGATAGTTTGCCGAAAATGTTGTATTTTTGGTGTTTAAATATAAAACTCATGATTCACAAGTTTAATCCGTCTTTATACGAAAACAGTTTCCTCGTATTCTGTTTCTGTATAAATAATTCCTGAACTGTAGTCGTGGTTTTGTCTAATGGATCGACTTGACGTCTTTAGTTGACCAAGAAATTCTTACCACCGTAACCGCCAGAGTGTGGACTGAGCAAATGAATCTATGAATGTTCATAATGGTGATACATAAATGAAACGCATTAGTAGAATTAAAACATTTACACATTTATTCAAGAAAAGTTCGGTAGTTAATCTTTAATATCATACAGATTTTTTTAGAATCCAGAGCAACCGATGGCCGATAAGCTATTTTTAAGCTGATATGTTGGGCTGATTTTACTTATTTTCTTCAAATTATGCTATTTAAATTTAAGACAAACTCACCCACTGCCTTTTTTTGACCACAAACCCATAAGGGAACTGTGTTTGTGCAGTTTCTCCATCGATCCATCCATTTTGTTCCGCTTATCTGGGGCCGGGTCGCTGGGGCATCAGTCTAAGTAGGGACTCCCAGACTTCCTTCACCCCAGACACTTCCTCCAGCTCCTACGGGGGGACCCCAAGGTGTTTCCAGGCCAGTCGAGAGACATAGTCCCTCCAGTGTGTCCTGGGTCTTCCCCGGGGCCTCCTCCAGGTGGGACACCAGAACATCTCCCGAGGGAGACGTCCAGGAGGCATCAGAACAGATGCCGAGCCTCAACTGGCTCCTCTCGATGTGGAGGAGCAGCAGCTCTACTCCGAGCTCCTCCCGTGTGACTGAGCTCCTCACTCTGTCTCTAAGGGAGACGCCCAGACGCCCTGCGGAGGAAACTCATTTCGACGCTTGTATCGTCGATCTCGTCCTTTCGGTCGTTACCCAGAGTCATGACCAGAGGTGAGGGGAGGAACAAAGACTGACCTGTAAATCGAGTTTTGCCTTTCAGCTCAGCTCCTCTTCACCACAACGGTCCGATACAGCGACTGCATCACTGCCGACGCTGCACCGATCCACCTGTCAATCTCACGCTCCATCCTCCCCTCACCCCAGAACAAAGTTGTGCAGTTTCTCTTCTTGTTAAAGTGTTAAGATAAAGTTTTGCGTGTGTTTTCAGGCAGCAGATCGACCAAAAAACTAAATATCAGCTTTTGCTTGCTTGTCTTCATAGAAATTTCATTAGTTTTGTTTTGGAATGTTCTGCAATATGGCATTAAACTTATCCATCTTGCATTTATTCATTTACAGGTGATTTGATTCATCAAAATAATTTGAAAAACTTGAAAAAACTCCTCAGATTTGACTTGTAACTCGGCTTGTTGGCATCACGTTTGTTTCCATGAAGATAAATGAGCTTAATGCCATACTGTGGAACATTCCAGGTAGAGATGCACCGATATCGATACTGGTATTGTATTTTGAATCTTTGTCGGATCAGATTTCGGTTGCCTGACTGAGCTTTATATTTATTATATTCACTCTTGTTTCTCTTAAATCGTACAAATCTTCGCCGTTTACCAAAGATTTCCGTGGAGAGAAACAAAAAAGGAGATTATCTCTTTTTTCTTTTCTTTTGAGGCCCTGTTTCACAACGAGGCTTTGTCCTAATCCACCTTGAGCACCTGAGCGCAGCAGCAGGTCACAATACTCACAGTATTTGATTTGATAAAAAGAATATTTAATGGCTGATGGAGACTGGAGACATTTCATAATGACTCAACTTTTATTCATACAAAGCTGTTCGGAAGTTACTCACAGGATAAATCAATTACATAACACAAATGGATCAAATTTGTGTTAAATTGGCCATGTTTTCGGGGAAAAATTGGCAATCCCTACATCATGTTTGGTCAAAAATGAGTTCATTTCATTGAATAAATACCATGAAAAACATCGAGCTCAAAATTGACCTTAGACTTTATTTGTCAGTTCCTGTTCCCTGCTTTTGTTTCATGAGCCAAAAATAAGTTTTCGTGCAAAGGCCAAAAGTAGAAACTGCTTATGTTTAGTTTGTGATTTAGTTCTTAAGTATATTTTCTTTTAAAATCCAACCTCTTGCCTCCTTCTTTTTGTTTTGGCCTTGGCTCAGGGTCTGAACACATGAAATAAATACACCTTTGTGTTCCATTGTGACGGAGTCAGTCCGTCTATGATTTTAGGTGGTGTTTTCCCCCACACGTACCCGCGGTCTGCAGTGACGTGCCCGCGCACACACACGCTGATTCATCCCACACACACCAGTTCACTCCCCGTTTCCCGCTGTTTCATTCATCTGCGTCGTATTCACTGTTATCGCCTTCTCCCCTCTTTCCTCCGTTACTAATTCGCAGGCTGCACACTTGAGCGCGTTACAGTAGTTTATTTCATACTTGTCTCTTACCTGTGCGATGACGCCGTCTCTCTCTCCTCCGACGCGGCGCCTCTGCCAAACCGAGCCACTATTTCCTGGTAGTTGAAATAGGCGCTGTTCGCGCCGTGGTGCTGACCATGTGACGCGCGTCATGTAATACGATTTTCTTTACGTTTTTCAGCTATTATTTTTGACATTTAATGTACATTATTACTGTGTGCTCAACGTAGCATAGACAAGGTAGGTTTATGGTTAAATTGTTTGTCTGTAGAATGATTTTGATGTGTTGCTCAGTGGGAGGAGTCAGGTGGTATAAAGGGGAGCCGTTCCTGGCTGTTAATCAGTCTGCCACCGGTTACAGAGCAGGTAACGTCGGTGTGCTGTACAGAATCTTAAAGGGGACAGTTAATGCTGAACTCAACCCTGTTTCTTTGTTGTAAATACTTTTTGGACTGTTTTGCTCACTGTAAATATTTTTGCACTGTTTTGGGGATTTTTGCACTTTGGACACTGGCACAATAAACCACCTGCACTTTAATAGAGCCCCGCCACATCCATTATACTTTGATTATCTTTAAACGTTGTATAGAGGATTTTTTAAGGGAAGTGAAATACAGCGACCGTCCTGTTTCAAATGTTGTGCATGTGACACCACCTCCCTCCTCCACAACCTCAGTAGAAACACCTCCTCCCGCCTCTTTACTCTAGAAATCACATTTGTTTACATCCAGTGGGTGTTCAGAATTACTGTTGAAGTTTCCTGTCTAGAAATAATTTAGTGGCCGACGCGTCTTCAGTCTTTTGACCCTTCGTCTGCTTCAGTCGCACAATTGCTGGAAGGAATCTCCAAGAATCACCTCAGTTTGTCTTCGCTCCTTTTCCCCTTCTTCTCTTCTTTTTTCGGCAACCTCAAAAACTGACTTTCTTTTGCGGCGAACTGGTCGTGGATTCTCGTCCGACATCGCGGCAAACTTTGTGAGGAAGCTACAGTTTGAAAAAGCCTCTAAGAACCGCTGCATAAACCACATAATCCCCGCGCGCCGACGAGTCAGTTACACTACAAACGTAGGGAGTTTGATTGACAACCTAACAGCCAATAGAAAATGAGGGAGCCTTTTTTTCTATTGGGTGATGTTTATTTGGCCTCAACACGTCCACAGATGATAGATTTTCATTCTTTTTTTTTTTTGGTCATTATAATTACAAAGCTGCTGCGTCTCTGTAATGGTATTTTAAACTTTCATTGACAATTTCGGGGAAAAATCATGTTTGGTCAAAAATGAGTTCATGTCATTTTGTTTGTATGTGAAACCTCCTTTATCTTGTGAATAAATATCATGAAAAACATCGAGCTCAAAATTGCCCTTTGACTTTATTTGTCAGTTCCTGTTCGCTGCTTTTGTATCATGAGCCAAAAATAAGTTTTCGTGCGAAGGCCAAAGGTAGAACCTGCTTATGTTTAGTTTGTGATTTAGTTCTTAAGTATATTTTCTTTTAAAATCCAACCTCTTGCCTCCTTCTTTTAGTTTTGGCCTTGACTCAGGGTCTGAACTCATTCAGTAAATAAACCTTTGTGTTCAATTATACGTCAGTTTTAATCTTTAATGTGGAAGTATTGTGTGTATTTCTTCATACTGTACACAATGTCATACTGCAAAGTCAGACTGTTAAACTGCGTAAGCGTCGCCGCACGATCCTGATCAGCAATTTAAAAAGGAAATCCAAACCTCTTCTAGATCATTTCAAACAAACTCCATAATGACTCGACTTCGGTGAGGTGTTTTTCTTGTAACGGATGGAAGTCTGGGCAAAATTAAGCAAATAATAATAATGATCATGTCAGTTTTTGCATTTGGCCTTTGCACGAAAACTTATTTTTGGCTCAAGACACAAAGGCAGATACAGGAAATGCAAAATAAGAGTCAAAGGTCCAATATGAGCTCAGTATTTTCCACATGCAAAGATTTCTTCATTACACTATTGTTCATTATTCATGTATACTAATTGTGTTTTTGGGAGCCCTGCCTTTTGTTATACTTTTGTCTGGACAAAACAGAAACTTTGAAGTCATTTTTCTCAGTTTCACATCTGGAGAGTTAAAGTCTTTTGCCTTTGTAGGACAGAATCAGTTAATATCGGGTATTGGCGTTGACTTAAAGCTTTAAGTATCTTAAAATCTTCACTTTTTATTCCTGTTACGGTCCCAGGTCTGTGGTCTTGAGTTTTGTGTGTGTTTTAATTAGGGCTGGGTATCATTCAGAATTTGCCGATACAATACATATCGCGACACACAGGCCACGATACGATACATGTCTCGATACAGTGAGCTTACGATTTGATATAATTCAATACAATATATTTCAAATCAGTTCGATAAGGTCCAATAAAAATAATGTCTAAATCGTGGCTGTGATACTAAAGTCTTTGTTGAATCACTTCTTGTGCAAAGTTCATATGAAACACAAACATTTTAATCCTCAAAACAGTGAAAATGTCAAATGTGTCGCATAAACGAGTTTCCTTCCTCTAAACAATCAACAAAACTGCAGCTGTAACAAAATAATTTAGTAAAATACACCAAAAAAAGACTCTAGGTGATATATCGATACAGCAGCCCACAATATCGATACTGTATCATCACATTAAACGATACGATATATCGATATTTCAATATTTCCGCACACTTGGTCACACATTTGGTCACTTGATTCTGTTTGTGTTGTGCTTATTTGGTTTAATTTGAGGAACTTGTGTGTTAGTTTTGTTTGTGTCCCTTTAGTTAACCACTCGTTATTTTTTAAGCCTGTGTGACCCGTTTTGTGGCACAAAAACTCGTCGTCTGTAGTTTTGTTTCTTAGTTTAGAGGATTTTCTGTATATTTTAGTGTTTTGTTGATTTACCTTTACATTCCTGTTAATTAAACATTACTTCATTTATTCAATTTTTCCATCTTGGTTTTATTTTTGTTTCTTCCCTCACCCCAACGAGCTGGTCGTAACTAGGGATGGGCATGATTAATCGAATAATTGTTCATTAAGAATTTCATCGATTACGTTAATTTTAATCGACAAATCGAATGTAGGTTGTTGTGTGTGTCGTGACCAAACAGGTGTGTACATGTGTCTCTGCATCAGAAGGAGCGAGACACAAACAGTGGGTCAGTCTGTAACGAACCGAAGCACAAATGTGGATTTAACCAGGATTTGTAGAAGAAATTCCACACTTTCCGTTGCGTTGGGACAAGTGTGAGTCCATGTGCACAGTGGATAAAGCAGCACATATGTTTCTGTGTCCAGTGGGAAAAAGTTTTTCCAGGTGAGAGTCGCTCAATGTGGATGACGAGGCCCCGCCCCCCTCCCCCCGTACGCTGTCCTGGTTTTGACAAACACAAATCTGGTCACACTGACCTGTATTCACCTGAGTCATGTCTTTTAATCCAACACAAGTTGAACCACATCAGCGACACAAGAGCTGGAGTTTTATCTTCACTTAGTTTATGTAAATTAGTGATGTGGTTTTAAGTTTTGTTTCTGTGAGATTTGAACAAAACTGAATTAAACACATTATAATGTCAAACAGCTGATGTGGATCTAGAGTCGTTATGTTTATATGTCGTAAAGTTGAATTTATTTATGCAGATTAGTGCAGATAGTAATAATAATGATGATCATTTTAATATAAAAACGTTAACGATTAATCGATAATCGATCGTTAATTCTTCCGACGATCGATTAAGAAAATTTCATCGAATGCTCGTCCCTAGTCGTAACAATTCCGCGTTTAGATGAGTGTTTTGGGGATTAAATCTGTGTGCATACAATGATGGAAAACTGTATGGAATTCAATTGTGTTTGCATGTCGGGCGACTCGGTGGTGATGTTTGTGACGTAAATGCGTACGTGACCTGAGCACATCTGACCAGAGTTTTGCGTCTTGGGCAGTGTAGACGGAAACACTACGGCGGAGTGGATTCAACTTTTCCACTCTGGAGGCTAGTTTCAGATTTTTTGCATTTTTAAAGCCCCCAAAAACGCTGTCAACATTTATTTATTTATTTGAAAAGGGACAATGCACATTAATCAACATCAAAACAATGTAAATGTGCCCGAGTTCGCTGATAACAGCTAATTTGCATCGGTTCCCTTTGCCAGATGTCAAAAATGCATCCTAAAAGAAAATACACTTAAAAGTTACACATCAAAAATTACACAAATGTACAATAAGATCACAAAAATACAATAAAAGTTTTAGTGTTCACACGTTTGCATTTCTAAAAGCCACTTTTTAGCTTTCTTTTTAAAAGCAGAGAATGAGGGAGATGTTCTGTCTCCACTGATGAGAAGCTCTGACGGAGAAAACAGACCAAATCCAGTTTTTCTATGAGGAATAATGCCTCTTCCCTCACTGCTCCTCTGCTCACTCTGCCTTCACTAGATCTGAAATTTACAAAGTCATTCAGCGAAGGGGGAGCCGAGCCATGTTTAATCTTGTACATTAGACAGATATTTTTAAATTGAATAAGATTGTCCCAGGTCATTAATTTGTATTTCTGCAAAATGTGACAATGGTGGAATCTACACGAAATACACAATAAAATATTTTGTCATTTTTACCTGCAAGCGTTACACAATGTTACACAATACACCCTTAAAACCATATCAGCTCTTGTATATTGACCTCTCTAATCTGTTCCGTTTCTGTGTTTCAGGATGGCTCCAGGCAGCGCAAAGAACGTAAGAAGACGGTGTCCTTCAGCAGCATGCCCACGGAGAAGAAGATCAGCAGCGCCAGCGACTGCCTCAGCGCCATGGTGGAGGGCACAGAGCTCAAGAAGGTCCGCTCCAACTCCAGAGTCTACCACCGCTACTTCCTCCTGGACGCAGACATGCAGTCCCTCCGGTGGGAGCCCTCCAAGAAAGAATCGGACAAGGCCAAGATCGACGTGAAGTCCATCAAAGAAGTGCGCACGGGGAAGAACACGGACACTTTTAGAACGAACGGGACCTACGAGCAGATCTCAGAGGACTGCGCCTTTTCGATCATCTTTGGGGACAATTACGAGTCGCTGGATTTGGTCGCCAACACTGCTGACGTCGCCAACATTTGGGTGACGGGACTGAGGTATCTGATTTCGTACGGGAAGCATTCGTTAAACGTGATCGAGAGCAGCCAGAACAACATGCGCTCGTCGTGGTTGAGCCAACTTTTTGATAACGCGGACACTAGCCACAGCAAACAGATTAGCATATGCACAGCGGTTCAGCTCATCAAAGAGCTCAACCCCGGACTCAAAAACGTCAAAACGGAACTGAAATTTAAGGAGCTGCTCAAGGCGAAAGACAGAGTCGGTTCTGACGTTACGAGAGACGAGTTCATCGAAGTTTACCACGATTTGTGCACGAGGCCAGAGATTTATTTCCTATTTGTACAGTTTTCTAGCAACAAGGAGTTTTTAGATACCAAGGACTTGATGATTTTTCTCGAGGCGGAGCAGGGTATGCCGCAGGTTAGCGAAGAAACAAGCATAGAGGTTATCCAGAAGTATGAACCATCGAAAGAGGGGCAAATCAACAACTGGCTTTCTTTGGACGGATTCACCAACTACCTTATGTCTCAGGAATGTCATATCTTCGATCCAGAGCATAAAACGGTATGCCAAGATATGAACCAACCTCTCTCGCATTATTTTATCAATTCTTCGCACAACACATATCTTATAGAAGACCAGTTCAGGGGCCCTTCCGACGTAACGGGATACATCCGAGCTTTGAAAATGGGCTGCAGGAGCGTGGAGCTGGACGTCTGGGACGGTCCCGACAACGAGCCGGTCATTTACACTGGACACACGATGACGTCGCAGATCGTTTTCCGTAACGTTATCGACGTGATTAATAAATACGCGTTCGTAGCTTCGGAATTCCCGCTCATACTTTGTCTAGAAAACCACTGTTCGTTAAAGCAGCAAAGAGTCATGTACCAGCATTTGAAGAAAATCCTCGGGGATAAAATGCACCTAGTTTCGCCCAAACCCGAAGATCCGTACCTGCCTTCGCCAGCGTCGCTCAAGGGGAAGATCTTGTTGAAAGGTAAAAAGTTAAGTGTGAACTGCGTAGCGACGGAAGGGGAGGTAACGGACGAAGACGAAGGAGCGGAAATGTCGCAACGTTTGAGCATAGAATCCACGGAACAGCCGCCTGCCATTGTACACAAAAAATTCCAGCTTTCCAAGGATCTTTCCGACTTGGTGACGATGTGCCAATCTGTGGAGTTCAAAGATTTCCCGGCGTCGTTTCAGAACCAGAAACCGTGGGAGCTGTGTTCCTTCAACGAGGTCTTCGCCAGCCGATGTGCCAACGACTACCCGGGCGATTTTGTGAACTACAACAAGAAGTTTTTAGCGCGCGTCTACCCCAGTCCCATGAGAATCGACTCCAGCAATATGAATCCGCAAGATTTTTGGAAGTGCGGGTGCCAAATCGTAGCCATGAACTACCAAACTCCAGGACTCATGATGGATCTGAACATCGGGTGGTTTCGGCAGAACGGGAACTGCGGGTACGTTCTCCGGCCTGCGATCATGAGGGAGCAAGTGTCCTACTTTAGTGCCAACACCAAAGATTCAGTGCCAGGGGTTTCTCCACAGCTTCTCCACATTAAGATCATCAGCGGGCAGAACTTCCCCAAACCGAAAGGATCTGGAGCTAAAGGAGACGTGGTGGACCCTTACGTCTACGTTGAGATCCACGGAATTCCCGCGGACTGCGCCGAACAAAGGACCAGGACGGTGCACCAAAACGGGGATAACCCTTTGTTCGACGAGAGCTTCGAGTTCCAGATAAACCTGCCGGAGTTGGCCATGGTGCGATTCGTGGTTCTGGACGATGATTATATCGGCGACGAGTTCATCGGTCAGTACACCATACCCTTCGAATGCCTGCAGCCCGGTTTTCGCCACGTGCCGCTTCAGTCGCTCACGGGGGAGATGCTTCCGCACACGCAGCTCTTCGTTCACGTGGCGATTACGAACCGGAGAGGAGGAGGGAAGCCGCACAAGAGGGGGCTGTCGGTGCGGAAGGGGAAGAAGAGCCGGGAGTACGCGAGCATGAGGGTGCTGCTGATCCGGACCATAGACGACGTGTTCAAAACGGCGCTGCTGTCCCTGAGGGAGGCCACGGATCTCAGAGAAAACATGCAGGTGAGAGACAAAAAGCACAACTGAAATGTTCTATGTTACGCAAAATTGACTCTTGTTTTCTGTTTGAAAGAAGAACTGAGCCTAAATCTGCAGAGTTTGTGTGTGAAACATGAGCGAACGAAACGAAACACAACTCCAGGTCTGTTTGTGATGAGGAAACTTTATACCGTAGATCACAATATAGTGTAATATGTAGGGCTGGGTATCATTAAGAAGTTGCCGATACGATACATATCTCGATACAGTGCATTTTCGATTCAATACGATACGTATCAAATTGATTTGATATGGTTCAACAAAAAATAATGGCTAAATTATGACTGTGACACTAAAAGTTTTTCTTAAACCACTTCCTGTGCAAAGTGAATATAAACCACAAACATTTTATTCATCAAAACTGTGAAAATGTCAAATGTGTCGCATAAACGAGTTTCCTTCCTCTGAAAAAGCAACAAAACTGTAACCAAATAATTCAGTAAAATATACGAAAAATACTCTTGGTGATATATCGATACAGCAGTCCCCGATATCGATACTGTGTCATCACATTAAACGATACGATATATCGATATTTTTGATATTATTGCACACCCCTAGTAATATGGGCCCTTTAAACGAGAGTGACATGAGTCTGGTGGTGCGTTCAGGGGCAGTACGGCGTCACAGACACAGACAAATGACTCCACAGATAAATACTGATGCGGCGCCACATATGAGGACGTTTATCTGTCTGTAAATTGGATTAAATGGACATAATATAGAAAGTCTCAGCTTCATAATGAGGTAATGCTGGTTTCAGGTGACATCACAGCTTTCTGTAGGCCAGGGCTGCTCAGACCTTTACAGTATGTGAGCTACTTTTAAAATGATCGTGTCTGAAAGATCTAACACCTAATACAAAAACGTTAAACATATATTTATTTGTAAATGTATTATTCATTCTTACATGTACAACACATTTTGAGGTATCTTGCATAACGTCATGAGATAAAACTGCACAACACAATTCAACTTTTTACATGTTTGTAATCACTTGAATCAGAGGTGCCCACGCTTTTTCAGCACACGAGCTGCTTATAAAATGTCCAAGTCAAAAATTATCAACCGACTACAAATTCAAGTAAACTGTACTGGACTGAAGAGAACTTTCAATAGCACTTTACAGAAAAGACAGTGATTAGGATTTTTAAACCTGTTTTTTCAGGTTCCTAACTGGAGTTACATGGTTAGTACGAGTTTTACAGCGGGATTTAGCCTCTGCACATTTATCAAACCAAACCCAGATGTATTTGTGCACGTTTATTAGGCAAACTTTAGCCACGTGTCGCGGTAGATCGGCTCTGTGCTGTTGGCTCCTCTGTGCCAACACTCTAACATACATTTAGATCAGTTTTTGCTTCGCGTTTTGTCTTGTCCTTCTAATCTGCGCATTGTGGGAGGAGCCTGTCTGAGCTTTACGCGGGAAAGAGCGAGAGCGTGAGAAGTAGGGCTGGTATCATTAAGAAGTTGCTGATACGATACATACCTCGATACACAGGCCACGATACGATACATATCTCGTTACAGTGCACTTTCGATTCGATATAATATATTTCAAATCGATTCGATACGGTTCAATAAAAAATAAAGGCTAAATCGTGGCTGTGATACTAAAAGTCTTTGTTAAATCCACTTCTTATGCAAAGTTCATATGAAACACAAACATTTTAATCATCAGAACAGTAAAAATGTCAAATGTGTCGCATAAATGAGTTTCCTTTCACTCCACAAGCAACAAAACTGTAGCTGTAACAAAATAATTTAGTAAAACACACCTAAAAATACTCTTGGTGATATATCGATACAGTAGCAGTAGTTTTAAAAAAGTTGAACCTGCCCTGTGATGCACGCTGGTACACGAGGGCACACGCTGTCGCAGACGAGCCGTGCATAGGGAGCGTGTGTGTTTGTGATGCGCCGTAGAGTCTCCGCGGGTTTCAAATGAGCGCACAGGCTGCACTGAGACGCCCCACACGCTCCTGCACCCGCTACAAGTTTATTACCAACAGCAGCGGCCGGAATGAAATATGATCACACTTGTTGAGTGTCAGACCTCGAGTGAGAGACAAGACCGAGTCCAAACGCGAGTCCGAGACGAGACACGGCGATCTACCCACACGACCTTGGTGATCGACTGGTAGATCGCGATCGACGTATTGAGCACACCTGCTGTAGGCCAATATTTTTTTTTTAATACAGATGAGGGCAGCTAAAATTAATATTGTTCCGCTGCAGATTTTTGTTGTAATCTAGCATAATAGAAACGATCAAGTTTGATATTTTTGGTTGTTTACCTTTCTGATATTTCATGGCAAAATACAAAATAATTAACAGGAAAAACTGACTCTTGCGCATAATCACGTCTGAAAACCACAACTAACATGCCCACGTGGACTATCGGCGAGATGTAGGCCGATACGTCTCTAAATGCCCAATGACCAACTGATATATCGGTCGGCAGTGTTGGGGAGTAACAGATTACAAGTACCAGAGTTATGTAATCAGAGTACAAATGATGAGTAACTGTATTCAGTTACAGTTACTGTTTCAGTGAGTGGTAATTGGATTACAGTTACTTGGTTGAAATAAATGGATTACACAGAGGGATTTAACTGTTTTCATATTTTGGGTTAAACCAGGACTAAACCAGAACTAAACCAGGTCTAAAAACAGGACTAAAACCAGGACTAAACCAGAACTAAACCAGGTCTAAAAACAGGACTAAAACCAGGACTAAACCAGAACTAAAACCAGAACCAAACCAGGACTAAACCAAGACAAAAAAAAAACAGGACTAAAACCAGGTCTAAAAACAGGACTAAACCAGGACTAAAATCAGGACTAAATCAGGACTAAAATCAGGACTAAAACCAGGACTAAAACCAGAACTAAATCAGGACTAAACCAGAACTAAACCAGGACTAAACCAGGACTAAAACCAGGACAAAAAACCAGGACTAAAACCAGGACAAAAAAACAGGACTAAAACCAGGACAAAAAAACAGGACTAAAACCAGGACAAAAAAACAGGACTAAACCAGGACTAAAATCAGGACTAAATCAGGACTAAACCAGGACTAAAACCAGAACTAAATCAGGACTAAACCAGAACTAAACCAGGACTAAACCAGGAATAAAACTAGGACAAAAAAACAGGACTAAAACCAGGACAAAAAACCAGGACTAAACCAGGTCTAAAATCAGGACTAAATCAGGACTAAACCAGGACTAAAACCAGAACTAAATCAGGACTAAACCAGAACTAAACCAGGACTAAACCAGGAAAAAACCAGGACTAAAACCAGGACAAAAAAACAGGACTAAACCTGAACTAAACCAGGTCTAAAACCAGGACTAAATCCAGGACTAAAACCAGGACTAAATCAGGACTAAAACCAGGTCTAAAAACAGGACTAAACCAGGACAAAAAAACAGGACTAAACCAGGACTAAAACCAGGTCTAAAATCAGGACTAAATCAAGACTAAAACCAGGTCTAAAACCAGAACTAAACCAGAACTAAACCAGGACTAAAACCAGGACAATATCAAGTAATCCAAAGTATTCAGATTACATTACTCACTTTAAATAATTAATGGATTACGTTACAAACTACATTTTGGGGTATGTAATCTGTAATCTGTAATCTGTAGGGGATTACATTTGAAAAGTAACCCTCCCAACACTGTCGGTCGGGCTTTACTTTCTACTCTGTCCCTCATCAAAAACACGCCTGAAGAGGTTTTATCTGTAAGATTCTGTACAACTTCACCCAAGCACAAAAACATGATGCAAAACTGTACAGTACAACTCGAGTAGTTTCAGACGTGCAGTAGTTTCAGCGGAGGGTTTCACACCGATCGTGTTGTGATAGCGCTCTGAAGGGGGAGTGACTTAATGGGAGGAGCAAAGAGAGGAGAGTTTCAGAGCGTCAGAAATGAAAATGAAGCTTATAAAACGTGTTAATGCATTGTTTGAATAGAGCAAGTTACTGTTATGTTGAGTTAACGCCCCATAGAGTAAAACCCCGCCTCTTTAAGCACAACACAACTCAACAAAATCAAATGTATAAAAATAAAGATATTGGAGCTGCACTGGAGCGAAACGTGTGCAGACAGGTGCTCATCAGACCAGAGAGCTTGAACTCTTGTTGAGTAAAAACGAAAATAATGGCTCTGATTTGCGGTGTGTTTATGAACGGTCACACCAACGCGTTTCGACTCCTTCATCTTCTTCAGGGCTGATGGAGCGAGCAGCAGGTGTGATGACCCCAGACACGTGATCATTAAAAACAAGATATCCAGAATAGGGATGGGCATGATTAATCGATTAATCGATAATTGACCATTAAGAATTTCATCGATTACGTTAATTTTAATCGACAAACCGAATGTATGTTGCTGTGTGTCGTGACCAAACAGGTGTGTACATGTGTCTCTGCATCAGAAGGAGCGAGACACAAACAGTGGGTCAGTCTGTAACGAACCGAAGCACAAATGTGGATTTAACCAGGATTTGTAGAAGAAATTCCACACTTTCCGTTGCGTTGGGACAAGTGTGAGTCCATGTGCACAGTGGATAAAGCAGCACATATGTTTCTGTGTCCAGTGGGAAAAAGTTTTTCCAGGTGAGAGTCGCTCAATGTGGATGACGAGGCCCCGCCCCCCTCCCCCCGTACGCTGTCCTGGTTTTGACAAACACAAATCTGGTCACACTGACCTGTATTCACCTGAGTCATGTCTTTTAATCCAACACAAGTTGAACCACATCAGCGACACAAGAGCTGGAGTTTTATCTTCACTTAGTTTATGTAAATTAGTGATGTGGTTTTAAGTTTTGTTTCTGTGAGATTTGAACAAAACTGAATTAAACACATTATAATGTCAAACAGCTGATGTGGATCTAGAGTCGTTATGTTTATATGTCGTAAAGTTGAATTTATTTATGCAGATTAGTGCAGAT